GTCAAATGGTTATCGGCCATTTTACTGAACAAAGAATTGCAGAATTTTAAGAATGATGTATTTCTGGCATTATTTAGATTAGGGGTACAAGTATGCACACATTTGAGAAACAGTGGCAAGCTGCAGCCACTAAAAGAAGAGGTTTTTAGTGGGTGCAGCCGAAAACAAAAAAAATATGAGATTTTAAAAGTTTTTTTTTTTAAATGTAAAAAATAAATATATATATATATAAAATCATATTATAAAGACTTAATGTAGCAAGAAATTTCTAGTCTGTTCATTTTCTTTTTAAATATTGTCTCCATGTTTTCTCCAATACTTGTCAATCAAGCAGTGTGGGTGGCAGTCTAATGGCTTTTTTTCTTTAGTTATCTTTTGAAGAAGTTTTGAGATTTTGTCAGTTGTCTTCTTTGTTCTTCAGTCTATCTCAAAACTGTCGATGTTTTCAAAAAAAGCTAAATTCATCAGTTGCCTAGCATCAGAGGATCCTTCACTGACAAAACCCAATCAATGTTTAGAACTGCAAATTGAAAACCTACACTGTTGATCGATCAATCAGCTGCTGGTATTAAAATTGGAAGTTTATGTATGAGAAGATGTTTCAGATGATTATTATAAGTTCACATTATCAATCCACACAGAAAACAGAGCATTTTATTTTGTTCATGCTGTTTCTTACCTGCACTGGCTGGCCGCTGTGGTAACCCTGGCGACACGGTGTTTCTCTGCAGAGCGGGTTGCTGTGGGGAAAGGAGCCGGGGATCTGTGAGGGTGGAGGTGACAAAGGAGGTGGTGGTGACCAGGGTGCCGGAAGGGTTGTTACTGAACTGAAGGGCCGCCGCTGCGTTCTGGTTGGATACTGGCACGGTGACTGGCATGGAGAAGGTGGGCTGTGGGACTGTAGACTGGTGGAATGACAGGAAGAGGGCAAAGATTAGAGTGTGGCCATGTTTATCCACCCTCACATATATTATAAAAAAATAATGAACAGGTGATCAGTTAGTGATCAGCAGCAGTGCGAAAAAGCCTGCAGGTCACACGCGCACACACACACACACACACACACACACACACACACACACACACACACACACACAC